TTATTAGCACCTTTTAGAGGCATATGGGGCTTCCCAGGTGGCTCAGTGGATAAAGAATCCACCTGCAATGCAGGAGATGCAGGAGACATGGGTTCACTCCCTGGGTTGGGAAAATCCCCTGCAGGAAGGCATGGAAATCCACTCCAGTATTCTTGCCAGGAGAATCCCTTGAACAGAGGAGCCTGGTGGGCTATAGTCCATAGGGGAGCAAAGAATTGGACATGACTGAAGCAACTAAGCATGCATACATGCATATGTATATGATTTACAAATGAATTTATGAATATATATAAATTGAGAATATGTGCTTAAATTATCAATGTACTGTCAGGTGTCCATGGTCAAAAACACCACTATTCTGGTCTTTGAGCCTTCCTCCATTTTTGGGGGTGCCCCCACTTTGGTGGGTACCCCCTACTTCTGCAAGTACTCTGTTACTTTTGTCATTGTGTGGGCACCCCCACTTCTGTAGGTAGCCCCCTACTTCTGCATGTACCCCTCCAATTCTTTGGTCATACCCTCAAGGTCTGTGAGTGTCCCCCACTTCTGAGGGCACCTAGAAATTGCAGGATCTCCTTGCCTAAATGCTTAGGATGACTGAGAAAGCTAGGAATTCTGAGATGTAGCACTGCTTGGTAAAATCGCCAGTACCCTAATCAGCCAGCATTCACTTTAAGATTAGCTAGGGACCCTCACTGCTAATACCCTACAGTGGATTCTTCCAGTTTGCAACCACTTCTGCCATCATTTTCAAACAGGCTTAGGGCTCCGCTCCTTTGATTTTGTTGCCATTGGGAGGGCTGAGCTCCTTCCCTCCATCCCCATTTCTCAGTCCCGAAGGAAAAAGATACCACCGGTTTTAAGACCCAGGGGGCAGGATTCGAACTTTAAGCAAAGGAAGGCTGTGCACCACCAGATTAATCCAAGGTCACTTGGGCAGAGGGACCCGGTGCAGGGCCCAGCTGCCCGCACACATCATGACCCACCAGGGGCTTGGCAACAGCATGCCTTTAATTGAAGGCATTGGGTTTAAATTTGAGTCATCATCGTGCCATATTTCAGCCTTTCGTTTGCCAAACCGCCAGTCAACTTAAACTAAAACATGTTTTTGGAAAAAGATTTTTAGGGGGTGGTAAGAACGCAGTAACTTGCTGGAAACATTCAAATGGACTTAGGGCTGTAATGCAGAAAAAAATAAAAACGTGCATCGGTTTAGGTTGTGGATGTTCTCTGTGGCAGAGGAACAGACAGAGTGTGGTTGCAAACTTTTTGTTTGTCCTTCTCCAACTGTTGCACACAAGGGGCAATTCATTAAGGTCATGTGTGTGTGCAGGCTAAATTGCTAAATTGTCCGACTCTGCGTCCCTACAGACTATAGCCTACCAGGCTCCTCTGTCCATGGGATTCTCCAGGCAAGAATACTGGAGTGGGTTGACATGCCCTTCTCCAGGGGATCTTTCCGACCCAAGGACTGAACCTGCATTTCTTACATCTCCTGCATTGGCAGGTGGGTTCTTTACCACTAGCACTACTGCCACCTGGGAATCCCCTTCATTACGGTCAGGAAATTGCTATTCAAGGTTCTTCCTGATCTAAAGACAGCTTCTAGAGTTACCAGGTAGTTGGCCACATTCTCATGCCATAGAGAGAGCTGGGAGAACCAAAGATCATTCTGGCATTAGAGTGTTGAAGCCCTCTCTTGCACTCATGCCTCAGTGTGTCTTGTTTAAAAACTTATTATGCAAAATATAAGTTGGGCTCTCAAGTGGTTTCTGGGCTGGTTGGCAAACTTGAAAACACACTAGTATCAACTGGGGGATAAACTTAAGTAGCAATGCCAGGGTACCACCTTCAACTGATGAACTTAAATGCACTAGAGGTGGGCTTCCTAGAGAAAAAAAGCTTCTAATGTGCAACTGTGTGTCTTCCAGAGACTTGCTTTCTCTGTTGGGCTCTCTGTGCCCTGGACGGGTTAGTCAGCACTTGTGTTTTCCTGGTTACAGTTCTAACCCCACCACTGGCCCATCTCCTGGAATCTTCACCGGCTCCCCAGGGGAATTTCCGAAATGTGTTGGTCTGGAGGCATGGTGTAAACCCATTTTTTAAAAAGTGACCTTTCATAAGTGGGTAAGTTGCTGCTTTTACAGATTTTAAATCATCTTTAAAAACCACAGTTAAAATTGTGTTTAAGCCACTGGTGGTATGGAGAGAAGTGGGTAGAGGCAATCAGTGTAGCCTAAAGCCAATTAAACAAAGGTATAAATGTTATATAAAAACCTCTCCAATTTATCGTCAAATTTCTGATTCTAAAAGTTCCACAAAATTTTCATGCTATCTGATAAAACTCATAACACTGAGATAGGAGTGTTGGCCATCTTTTTCATTCCCTCTGCTTGTCTCTTTTATGGAGATTGATAGCCAGTATGAACACGATACATTTTTTAAAATGTACTTTGTCTTTAAAGAGGTTAAACAAATTTGAAGGCTTCAGAGTTGATCTTCTGGTACTGAGGAATCATTGTAGTATTAAGAAACCATTAGGCCAAAGCAGTAAGATGAGGATAAAACACTGGCAAGCTACTTTGCAAAGTTGCTTTAAGGATAAGAAGACTATTTGAGAACAACTTAAGTGTCTTAAGTTCCTTAGAAGAAAACCCTCAAAATGTGGTGCCTATCATTAAAATGTTTTAAGCTCTTTATAAAAATAACATTTCTCAAATTACAGAGGACTCTAACAGTGAAGAGGAAAAAAAGATTATTCTTTCCAAAATAGATATTTTCCCCCTTTCTGAACCTAATAACAGAAAGCATTCAATAGTTTCTTTAACTTCAAGATTAGGAGATTGTGCTCATACTGTTAGACACAAGTTCTTCATGCTGAGTTTTAATCAAGAGGAAAGGGCATTATTCTCCAGGTATTTTTTTTTTTAAGTAGAAAAACATTTTTTTTTTTTAAAAATCAACCAAATTGAAAAGGTCTTTCAGGGAGAATAAACAATAATTTTTTAAACACACAAGAAGATTTAATAGTCAACTAGTCTAAAACTTAAAAAATTAAGTCTGGAAAAGCTTACCAATTATAAAATCTTGTCATTATAATCAAAAATATTAATTGAATTCCCAGAAATAAAATTGCCTTGTGTGATCAATTAGAGTTGATTCTTATAAACAGTAATTTTGATAGGGAGGTAATAACAAATACTAGTAGCTGACTTTGACTAACATATTCTGGTCTGCAGAAAATTTCCATGTATGTTACTGAGTCTCTGTGAAGTTAGGTTATTCCAAGTCCTTCTTCCACTTGGGAACGTAAGGGTGAAACAACATGAAAGAAGTGGTGCTGAGATCTGACCGCAGGCTATTTTACTTTCAGTCCTTTGCTTATATGGAGCTCCTCCTTGTAGCAGCTAAAGAGTGTGGACTTTAACTGCCGGTTTCAGATTTGGCTATCTTCCCTTATGTAGCTTTGTGACCTTGGACAGGTCATTTGCTTCTCTGTACCTCTCTATTTATGTAAACAGAGAATAAAAGTACCTATACTTTACACAGTTAATGGAAGGCTAAGAAGTATTAGTGCACATAATTGCTTGAAATAATTTCCACAATTCAACTCCTTGTTCCTTTGCTTTATCTTATTTCTTGTGGAAAGGAGAACAGGTAGAAAGGAGAACCATCTAAAAACTAACCATATGCTGATCAGTTTGGGATCAAGACATCAGATCTGGGAGACTGGAAACTATTCACCTTCTTAGTGACAAGTTCCAGGTCTTCCTGGACCTCACTCCAACCAGCCTGCACTGGGTTGTGGGCTCCCAGTATCAGCAGAGTCAGCAGAGTCACACTGAATGACATGAACATCTCATCAGGAAGGTCTCTGATTGTTATCCCTTTTGGCCTGGAATAAGGGCTCATTTGAGCAGACAGACAGACCTGATCACGGGCTCAGCTCAGAGCTTCTAACCTACAAGAGGCCTGGGTTTGTGTGTGAGTGTGGTGCGTGTGTTTTAAAATCAGGTCAGTTGGGACAGCCAGGCCTGTATCTGCCCAGATGACAGGTGAACCATCCAGGCCTCAAGGGGGCTTGAATGTCATCACTCTGGCTCAGCCTTTGCAATCATCTGACTCATTGACACAGCACTGAGAAGCACAACAACCCAGGAAAAAGAAAATAAAAACCCGACCGACCAACACCCATAGGGGGAAAACTGCCTCCTACTTCTGATCCTAAAACCCAAACAGCTGCTACCTCCCAGATGGAACCACTGAGAACAACACACAAGGGAGCTTGGGGGAAAAACAGCCACCGAGGAATTAAAAAGAATCAGTGACTTGAAGGTCATGGTTAGGCTTAACTTATTTTACTACCTTCATCATTAATATTTTGCTAAAGCTCATTAAATTTTTTTTTCCCCACTCAGGGTTTAAAATAGGAAGCAACTGACCCAAGCAGGTAGTTTCAGGCTTGCAGTGAACCTGGGACTGAATATTGTCATCATGTGGTGGTGGAGGGGTGGGAGAAGGGAGTCAGGGAAACAAGGTTCCAACGTGCCTGAACACCCAGCTTTGAGGCTTAAACCAAAAATGTCTTAGGTTCACCCAGAGTCAGCTAAAGTTGGGCAAGGAGGAAGGCCAGTGAGAATGACCAGAGGGGCATAAAATTTTTAAAACAAGCCAAGGTGCTTTACAACTTGTTTTCTGCTAAATTCTCTCTGGCCAGTGTTGCTGCCAGGGCCCATGCTGCCCGCCCCGTGGCTCCCGTGAGGGATTATGGCGTCCCTGTCTGGGGGCGCCTATCACAGGGACATCCTAACAGGATCCATACGGGAACCGGAAGTCCATCCAGGGAGGGGGAAGTCGAGGAGTCCATTTTCTGCTTTCCTCAAGTAGCCCAGGGTCCTAAAAAGTCACTTTTATCGGGCAGGGGTGGGGGTGGGGGCTACTTCAAGACAACCTAAAGAGACACTTCAACTTGAGAGTCTGGGTAATCAATAGAGACTTACCCGTACAACGTAGTTAAATCTTCTGGAATCCAGAATGGCAGTTGAGAAGTCCAGCCTGTTGAAAGCTTCCCCCAGAGTGCAGTATCCATGGCGCTGAATGTGAAAACAGGGGGTGCAGAGGTCACGTTCTAGAATGATCTGCCTGGACTCTGCCGACCAGCTGGGTGGCTATCTAAGGTAACCTGCTCCCTTCCTGCACCATGATCAGCTCTTTCTGGGAAACTCCACCCCCCTACCCCTCACCCCTGTGAGCCACAAAGATGGGTGGTTCGCAGGCAGTTGCTTTAGTCAGTGACTGAAGTTGTGACATGTACCCTGTGGACCCTTGTCCTCCGCATGCACTTGCTTATTGAGGAAGGGTTGGGAGATAGATATGTGATGTATGTTGATCACGGGAACATACTTCTGGGGGGAGAATTAACCCTGTGTGTGTTAGCTCTGTCTGCCACCCTGCCTCACATCTCTAGGGCTTTTCTCACTGTGATCATCAGAAGTGTTTTTAAGGCTTCATGAAGGAGCCAGAGAAGTTTTGGTCTTTCCCCTGTGAATGCACAAGGCACTGAGGGTGGAAAGCCCTGACTCACAGCCCCAGCTCTACTCCCAGTACCTGGGTGGTCTCGGGTATATCACTGTCCCCCTCACAGGGCCTCAAATCACAGAGGGAACTAGTTCTCCAAGGTCCCTGACAGGGGTAGAAATTCTATCAATCTGCCATGCAAATTGAGATATTACAATGTCGTGTTCTTTTCTGCATCTTGTGTGTGCAGCATCACACCAGGCAGGCACAAAAACTTCTACTGTATTTAGTAATTAAACCTCCAGGGGTAAAATGAACCGAGTTGAAGTCTAAAAGTGATGTTAGAACAAAAGGGAGGCATTGTCCTGAGGGAAAGACTGGAACTTTATAACAGTTTCAGCCTTTGAGATGCAAATATTCATCTCCATTAAGCACTTTTACAGTCATCATCTCACTGAACAACTGGAGAGTCCACCTAGAGACTTTAGCCTCTCTCTCTGTAGCCCCAAACTAATGGTCAGCTAGGTAGTGGGCTGCAAGCCAGCACCACCCACACCCAAAGAGACAGTCCTATACTCTCCTAGGGCAGGTATAAATAAGCATTCTCCTTAACAAACAGATGAGTGCTCACCTCTTTAGTACTTCCTTTGTGAACATAGATCCATTTTTCTTGGTGGAAATCTAAAAAGACAAACAAATAAAACCCCATAGCTTTAAAATTTACAACATGTCCAAGAGTTTGCATTTATTTTTCATTTACTCCAAAGTGTTAAAAAGTTTTGACAGAACATACAAAGACTCTACTGACAGTCTAAGGGGATGCAAATGCCTAATTTCTGCAGTGTATAAATACCAGAGTTATAACTTACTTTGTTGAAGGCATTTCAAGTCTTTGATACTCAGATCGAGTATACCAAAGCTCCAAATTAAAGAAAAAAATCTAATACCCAAGTACAAGTTTGTGTTAAATGCCAAGCCTACAAGTTAAACAATGCCATAAGGAGTAGAAATAAAACAGATAACATGAATAAGCCATGCAGTACAGATGGAATCAACTAAAGATCTGTAATTCCTGCTTATTAACAGAAATGTAGACTCTCCGTTCATACATCCAGCATCTAGAACTGTTACTAGTATTTTTACAAGGAAAGGGGGGAAAAATATACGTTCAAAGCCTCAAAACCCAGTTCCAAATGAAAGCACACATTGGTGCTTCAGTTGACCATATCACTGGATAATAACTAAACTAACTATGTCAAATATAAGTGACAAGCCAGGAAAAAACACCCCAACTAGCAACTGACTTATAAACACAACTATAAAGAATACATTAATCTCACTCATAAAATGCACAACCAGGTTTATGAGTGCAAAGATCCCTGTAACCTCTGTCAGTGACACAGTCAATGTGAAAGCCAATGCCAAACATGTGAAGTGTGATTCCCCGCCCCAAGAACCAATCAAAACGATCTTCAGACAGCTTTCTTTCTTAAGTTCAAAACAAATGGCTTACACTGAGTTTTGGTTTTGCTATTCAGCATGTCCTTCTTTCTCTTCTTGGCTGCAACGTCATAGTTCAGGCTGTTGAAAAGATTCTCCTTATTGTATGCTTCCTTGCTGCAGTAACTAGGAATAATAAGACCAGAGAGGATGAGCTGTAATAGTTATACTTTAACATGAGCTGTTTCTATAAATAACTCACTGCAGTTATAAAACTCAATCATATGTGCTCCTCAAACAAAGCAATGAAATAATCACTCAAAAGAAGTCTGCACAGGCCCAGTTTTGCCTCTTTTAGGAAGAAAATAGTGTCACATCTCCATCTGTCACATCTCATTTTGGAAATAGTGTCACGTTTCATTTTGAATGCCCAACACTGTTTGCCATTGTATTAGATACATAGCTCTGCACTCTTTTAAGAGCCACCCAGGGTACAGCAACATTATTTTAAGTAAAAATTATGAATGGTGGGGAGAGAGGCTACTGGCATCACTATAATATACAATTATTTTCATTTTGCAAAAATCATCCACCTCAAGCTGCTTTTAAAAAAATAGCTTTATGGAGATATGATTCACATACCATATCTTTGACCTATTTATTTATTTATTTTTAATTAATCTTTTAATTGAAGGATAATTGCTTTACAGAATTTTGTTGTTTTCTGTCAAACATCAACATGAATCAGCCATAGGTGGACATGTGTCCCCTCCCTCTTGAACCTCCCTCCCATCTCCCTCCCCACCCCAAGCTGCTTTTAACTAGCATGCTCCCCTCATGTCTTTAAAACATTTACAGAAGTCTGACTTATAGACTGTATTTCTAGGAGGTGTTCAGCATATAGTATCAGTTGTTTAGGTTTCATATCATTCTTTGACTAACCCTAGGCATCATGTTGTGAGGTGAAGACCTTGAGTCCTAAATGAAACAAGCTGAATTTACAACTCACACATCTATTAGGGCTGAAAAGACAGAACTGGCCAATTTACAGGTCACTAAACAATGTACAGTTTCAACTTGGGTTGGGGCATATTTCCTTCAGTAAGCTTAGCTGTCTTTGGGGCGCTGATGGAGTTCTATCATGTAATGGGACTTGAGAGTAAATCTCCAAAGAGTTTCTGCAGAAGGAATGCAGGAGAAATATTGAGAAGATATAATGAAAAGATCCCCCTACCCCCACCTCCCAACCCCCATGGGGTATGCGTATGCCAGGCAGAATTTTTATTTTTTTCAGGCAAGATTTATAATGTCAACCAGTAAAACATCAACTAGGTTTTTTTTTTTTCTTACATCAACCATATATTAGAGCCCTTTAACTTTCTGAGTTCTTTTGCTGAATTTAAAATATGATTTGATTTATATCTTGTTTGGACCAACATCTGTTGGATAAGATGAGGTACACTTGCACTTCTCCATGTTATGAGTATTATGTAAAAGAGAAGAGAGGGGTTGAAAAACAATTTCCAGTATCCTATTGCTATCAATACAATGATCTCTCCAGTACTTCAATAAGTACAATAAGTATCTTGCTAACATGCTTACATGTGATAGCACCAACAATATGCTCAGTGTTTCTGGACCCAGAGGGATAGGCTTGATGGATAATCAGTCATTTGTTAATCTTCCCTCAGAAGGCCAAGCTTAATACCATTTATTGAGCTTCCTAATATCATTAGCCCTCTCCTTCTCATTCCGGGATACAGGATACTTTGAGGTTTCAGCGGGTTTACTGTAGAAATGCCCTGTCTTGGGGAACACTAAGTCTCACTGAGCCCAGGGTAAATGTTTCGGGCCTGGCGTTGCATCACACGTGAGTGTGTATTTGCTTGCACGGCTCTAGGGGCACGAAACCATTGAGCAGCCAGCTGCCCGGTGCCAAGGTCAGCAGGATAAGAGGGGCAGCAGAAACAGGGAGCAGAATTCAGAGTCCTTAGAGCTAATTTAAGAAATTTCTGTCAACGCTGAGGAGAAGGGAGGAAAATGGAAAGTCACTTGACTGGTCCATGATGTACCAAAGCTGAGAACAGCTTTAGAAAACAAAGTTGAGGCCATTTCGTGTAAAAATATCACACGAAGACTTATTTTTAAAGGAAACACACACTGGCACTGTGAGCAGACACCTACAGCCTGAATTCCACATAGACAGAGCCACAAAATGAAGCTGTCTTATTCTCAATCACACATTCAAGGTTTAGCAGAGCATTTCGGGGCCTGGGCCATAGATTGTGACCATTCCTTAGCAATGTTAAATATTTATCTTTCATCTTATTCTTTTCTAATTGAAAACATTCCTCAAAGGAATTTGAGCACTTGCTTTCCTCACAGAAATAACAATAACCTGCTTTAAGCCTGAGTGACTCATTTCCAAAGCTAGTTTTAAGAAGAATTCGACATAATTGATGATGCTTTCCCACTGGAGAATGTAGAAAAGATTTAACCAAAGAGAAACCCTGCACTTTTCACTTAGGTTTTGGACTTCAGGGGTAGGGCCTGGAAGGAAGGACCACGGGGTTTATTTGTGTTGCCTGCTTATATGTTTTCTTTTAAGCAATAATATATTCAGTTAGAGGCTATTTTGAGAGTTCAGTTATGTCCATTTCAAGAAAATGCAAAGCCAATGGAAAATTACAACTGAAATTTTGGACAAGAAAAGCCACCATCATTTGGGAACCATGACTTTTTTTTTTTAATAAGCAAAACCATTTAAAGAGGCTGTCTTCTTCATTAAATGCAGTAGTAACCAGTAACTTGCTATTTTACAGTCAGTTCTAACTAATCTTGATTTTTATAGGCACAGGCCTAGAATAAGGGAAAAAAGACCTCTTCCAGCCCTGTACTGTCATCACACACATACCAAGATACTTAAAGACAACTTTAAAAAAAAATGGAAGATTTCAAAATAAGTGCATTTGGCAGCAGAGACAAAGGCAGGGAAGAAAAAAAAAAAAAAGAAGTCCTAATTCTCATTTCATTTGTAATAGACCATTTGGAGAAAGCTGTGGCCTACTCCTAAGGGCTTAGTTGTAGATTAAGGCCAATGAGAGTTCTAGGCTAATTTACTCCAATAAATACCCAAATTGTCAGACTCACAGGGCAAGAACCCCACTGTTGTGGCAAAACAAACAGCCAAGTGTATGAAGCCCTGAGAACACTGCCTTGCACACAGTAAGTGCTCATAAAAATCTTAACTATTATTTTATTTGCTTATTCACTATTTTATTTGCTTGTTTTTATTTGTGCACCCAGGGCACCAGGGTAAACTTCCTGCTTCCTGGTTCAGCCTTAGCTGTACTTTTGGAGTTTTCAGAGGCACCCCTGCAGGCTTGCAGAAGGGTAGCCCACGCTCAGGGAGCTGAGATGACTCATCTGGGGGGTGGAGCAGGGCAGGGCTGGGGGTTATTGGTGAGCAGGACTGCTTGCGAGGTGGCTCAACCACCAGTTCCTTGAAGCTCTCTTGGATCACCCTAATTCCTGTTGAACTCTTTCCTTGAATTTTTTTCATCTTCCCAAATGTAACACTTGCCATTCTCCTTAGGTAGTTTCAACTTTTTCACAGGGCACCCTCCTTGAAGCTTATCTGAAATCCTCCCTTGATCTCAGTTCAGGGCACTTAGCTGTGATGGGGTTTTGGAACATTCTGCTGCTGGAAGAAGACAGGGCATGGGACACAGAGAGAATGGCCAGCAGGGTCCAGAGAAGGTGCTCTGGGCAGAGAAGCTGTGGTCCACTCACAAAAAACACCATGGTCCCCAGGTTGCAACATACCAAGGGCACCCTCACCCCCCCACCCCCGTGCCCCCACTCTTGTCCAGGCAGCTCACAGAATGGGAGGTGGAATCAGACTAAGTGCCTGAGGCCTCTTCTGCAGGCCTCTGTTGCACATCCACCCCCTCCCTCTCTTTCGAAAGGGCCTGCCTTTTGTTTTCTCCTAACAGGAGAGGCATTCAGCTTCACCTGAGTAGGCAGGCTGGCTGCTCAAACCTGACATCACAGAGCAACATCACCAGGACTGAAAACAGGAGGGATATTTGAGCCTGCAAACCTGGGTCTCAGAAGGCCAACGGCTTTGAAGAAATTGGCAGACTTCTCATGTGAAGTAGGGAAGGGACTGTTTACAACTGCTGGGGGAAAAAAATACTCTGCAAACAAACAGGGAGCTGCTTTGCTAGGAGCTACCAAATGAGTCCTCAAATCTGACTCATCCAAGAGCCCCAAGTGGTCACTAAGTGGATCACCATTGTGATGATGGTGGTAGGGTGGCAGTTCTAGCTCAGATAGCCTGAAAAGGGAGGAAAGAAAGGAGGTTCAAGCGGAGACAGAGGTGGGAAGCTAAGGGTAAACTTTCGTGGTAAGGTAAACCTGTCTCCAGGTCTCCCCTACTATGGAGAGAGAGGCACCACTTTTCTAAATGGGAGTGACACCAGCTTATCTCCCAGAGCAGATTCAGTGTGAATGTTTATGCCAAGCAGAGCCTCTGATTTGGAAACTCTCCTGCTGAACCCACTGGTCTGTCTCCCACTGAGGAACATCCTACGCTTGTATCCGGGTGAGCCGCTGGGACACAGCTGAGCAGACCATGGCTGCACCTCCGAAGGAAGAATCCAAACTGTCACCTCAAAATAAAGTCCAAAATATTAGATCCTCAACTTCTTAGGAATGAGGAGGAAGGAAGGAAGGAAGGAAAGAGGCTTGCATTCTACTATACTAAAAAAAAAAGCTTTTAGTCCAGGGAGAAAAATTTAGACCAAATGGGCAACTAGAGTCCCTAAGAGAGTCTAGAGACAGCAGATAGTCTTTTTATTTTTCTGTAAATTTTCTGAGTTTCCATAAGTAAGATTTCTTTAGAGTGCTACCCAAACTCCCCAGGGATGACCTCAAAGTGTCTTTAAAGTAAAAGGTCAATGTGCTCTTGTCTTCCCTGCAGACCCCCAAGATCAATTACTTTTATTTTTTTTCCACTGGAAAACAAAAAGTGATGCTTCACAAATCACAAACAGGTGCGGGGCCCTGGAAGGCAGGACGCTGAAATAACCATATTTCCTTGATAGTTTTTGTAAAATTGAATGCCAGGGGCTCAGCCAAACAACCATTGGTAAATCTGAGTAGGAAGCTGGCCCAGGTACAGGACTCTCCACCAAAGTCAGTCTAAGGGCTGGGGGCGGGGAGCAGTGGTTTTCCCCAAAGGCCACGGGTAAAGTCACCCAAGGGTAAGCAGGCTGCACTGATCCCCTCTGGGCCAGATGGCAGCGAAGTGGGTGCCAACTGTGGTGATGAGGACTGACAGCCTCCAGGCCATCCAGCTCCTTAGTCGCGGCTTCTGTGTTATTAACCGGGGTGGGGGTGGGGCATCAGGCTCCTCGGAAACTCAGATTTTCCACCACACTGACAGTTCAGGTGGAACTTGACTCCAGAGGTTCACCCACGCCGGGTGGACTTTCTGCAGGGGATGGGCATCACTTGAAATGGGGGCGCACTCACTATACAAAGAAAACGCCCGAAAGGGCTACTGAGGAAACAGGTGCAAAGACGCGGTCCTCCCAGAGGCCGAGGGCTTGTGGGAGTCTCAGCCCACCTCCCTCCCCTCCTCCGCAGCTCTGCCTTCTCGGGTCTTTACCGTCGCTCCGCCAGCACGGATGCTCCAGGGACCATCTGGTCGCCCCTTCCCGGTTACTCATCTTCCCTGCCCACTCTGTGGTCGCCTGTGCGTGGGAAGAGCCTGGAGGCGCGGCGGCCGGGACCCGTGTCCAATCCCGTCTCAGACTTGGGCTCAGAGCCCCGCCACCCCAGGGTCCACCCCAGGATGAAGGTCATGCGGCCCACTCGCTGGCGCTCATCCCCCACCCCTACCCCCCACGCAAATCTCACGACGCTGGTGTCCTTTAAGGCAGTGGACCCCTGAAGTTGGGTCTAAGTTTTAGCGTTTGGGGATAAGATCAGTTTCTCAGAGGGACCAGCATTCTGTAAAAAGTGCCCACTTGGAGACGCTGACCTTGAACAATAAGAGAAACCAAACACCCGTGCTCTGCCGACATCTCTGCAGAAACCCGGGATAATTCACTTCCATCCTTCTGGTTCGGGGCTCCCTCCTCACCCTGTTCCGGCCTGCCTGCGTCCCATTCACCCGCCCCCCACTCCGAGAGGCCAGCCCGAGTCTGTCCACCGCCGCTGAAGTTGGTGGCGACCCCCTCACCTGCCGAGGTCGCTCACGAAGCTGCCGCTCTTCTCGTCCAGGAAGCGTTTCCAGCCATCCGCCGTCTTCACCCAGCTCTGCCCGGGGGACCGCCAGTCCTGCCCGAGGAATGGCATGGCACTGCCGGGGGATGCGACGGATGCACGCGACGGACTGAGGGACGGGGACCTGCCCGGCGGCCTCGGGGGCGCGCCCGCCCTGGGCGGCTGCTTGGGATGCTTGGGGGCCGGTGAGGGAGCGGCTGCGGGATCGGGGGTGCGGAGCGAGTTGCCCGCGCTCGCGGAACGCGCTATGGAGGGTCGCGGGGCGCGCGAGGCTCGCTGCAGTGCAGCGCTGCGGTCCGGGCCGCCGTATTTATCCTGGGCCGCCGGCCGCGGCTCTTTGTTGCCGGAAGAGCCGCCTGCTCTTAGCCCGGCCCCCCCAGCCCGGAGGCCACGTGGCTTTGTTTATAGGCTCGACTTGTTTTCCGAGGCGCCCGCGGCTCCTACTCCTCTGGCTGTTGCACAACCGCTCGCTGATGGAAACTTGAAGCCGAGCTGCGGGCCCGGGGCTCCCACTGGCCCCTCCGCCCCGGGCCCCTCTGCGCTCCCTTCCTGTTCGCAAAGGGCGCAGCTGCTGCGGCCCGAGCGCGAAGACGGGCGCTCGGGGAAACTGAGCCTCGTCCTCCTGCAGCTCCCGGCCTGGCGAGGTGCGGGGAGGACTAGGCCCGGGCGGCGTCTGGATCGCTGTGGAGCGGGGGTGGGGAGAAAGGAGGCTCCCCGCCTCCCAGCCCCGAGCTGTCACAGTCGAGCCCCGCGGTTCCGAGCGGCCTTGCGGGAGCCGAACCGGCACTGCGCGGCCCGGAGCCGGGTAGCGGGACGCAGCCTCCTGGCCTCTCTCACTGCCTAGACCCCGATCTCCTCGGCGGAGGAGGGGATTCGCCGCGAGGCGGGGATGGAAGGAAGGACTGTCTTCCACCTCCCTCTGCCCTCGAACTGTTGAAGAGTCTGTTGTCAGACCTGTCCCCCGGGTGGCAAAGGAAGGAGAAGGAGGCCGGGCGGCGGCTGGTCCCCGCGCGGTGGGAGTGGAGAGCAGGGACCGTCCCCCACCCTTCTGCGCGCCTAAGCGAGCGGCGCTGGCGGCTGCAGCGCCAGGCCCAGCACAGCGCAGCGGGGGAGCAGGTTAGATGTGTCCCAGCTCCGTTCACTGTCCAGCCTCCCTCTAGGACGCCGGGGCCTGGGCTTTTGTTCTGAAGAACCGCTAAGCCCCTTCCTCTTCCTTGCTGTTTGGTATCCTCTGGGCTATTAGGCCCTCCTCCGGGAAGAATCAGGCCAGGAGTTTTGTTTTAGTTTTGGCAAGACTTTCCAGAAAGCCCCCCCCGCCCGACTGATGGGACTGAAGGAAGTTCGATCAAAGCCCACAGTGAGGAGGCAATGCCCCCGGAGTCCTAGACCCTTACAGACCTCAGTTTATTCACCTAATCCTCCTAACCGCGAGCAGGAGGACCAGTCTGGCAGCGATCCAGCCCCTGAGAAAGGTTAAGCCTGTGACTTAGCCAGGGTCACAAGGCTTGTTTCTTCACAACCCACTGTACAATCTGAAATCACCCCGTTTGCTTTTTGGTAATAAGCTACCACTCTCTGCAGAGAGTGTAAACTCCGGGGGAGCTCCAGCGTCTTGTTTGGGGAGCATCCCAGCTCCAGCACTTTGCCAGGCCTGGAGAAGGCCTTCCATAACTATTTGTCCTATGAGTAGGTGAATGCTTATGGGAGGCTGCTGACCTCAGGCTATCGTCGTGCTCTTCCTGACTTCTACTTATGGTGCTTTATGATCTGTTCCGTTTGGTGATTGAATTGCAAAGAGTGGTCACAGCAGAGTAAAATCTCCATGCTCAAGAGTTACCTTACACTTGCTTCCTAGATATCTCCACAATCCCTCGTCTGCAGCCACCAACTCTGCCATCTTTAAGGCTCAGAGTAGACAAATTGTGTGTGTCTTGGGAGGGGTACATGTTGGAGGGGAAAGGAGATGTTTTTAATAAAGTCTGTTTTCAAGTAGCCAGAGTTTTCTGATTCAGGTTTTCCACCATAAATAATTTATTAGTGTAGTAATAGTAAAAATAGCTTGTAAAAACACTGCAGAAGGTCCTAGACAAATGATAATCACTGTAATCCAGCTCATAGATGAGATAGTGTTGGGTCTGGCCTTTGTTGTAGAGAACTGATACCTGCAAGGGAGCATAATTAAGGGATGTGATTATTAAAGATGTGTGCTAGTTACATGTCAGTGAGCTATAGCTCTGTAGAAACTATGGAAGGCAGAAGATTTGAATTCTAATTCTGCTAGAGCAACATACTGTCTGTCTGACCTGGATGAATGACAAATTCTGGAGGCTCAGTTTTCTCAGCTGTCAGGAAAGAATAGAGCCTATAAATGTCTACCTTTCAGGATTGTTTAGAAAGTATTTTAAATGGGATTATTGTTACCGGCTCTTTTCCCTTTGGTTGTGTAACGCACTCACGTGGCACACGGCCTCTTAGTAATATGTAATTCCCTGATTCTTTTTTAAAAGTTGAAATATAGTTGACTTACAATATTATATTAGTTTCAGGTGTAGAGCCTAATGATTCAGTGTTTTTATAGATTATACTCCATTTAAAGATATTACAAAATAATGGTTCTAGTTCCCTGTGCTGTACAATATATCCTTGGTGGGTACTTTGTACATAGTAGCTTCTACCTCTTAATCCTCTACTCCCATGTTGCCCCTCCCCCCACTATTATCCGTTACTTTGTTCCCTCTATTTGCTATAGATATTTATTATTTTTTAGATTCCACATATAAATGATAACATAAAATATTTGTCTTTCTCTGTCTGACTAATTTCACTAAGCATACTATTTTCTAGGTCCATCCACGTAGCTGCAAATGGCAGATTTTGTTCCTTTTTTATGACTGAGTAGTATTCCCTTGTGTATATACACCACACCTTCTTTATCCATTTGTCTGCTGATGGACACTTCTGTTGCTTCCATATCTTGACTGTTGTAAATAGGGCTGCTATGAACATTGGGGTGCATGTATGTTTTTGAGTTAGTATTTTCATTTATTTTGGATGTATTGCCAGGACTGGGATTGCTGGATCATATGGTAACTCTATTTTTAGTTTTTTGAGAAACTTCCATACTGTTTTCCACAGTGGCTGTACTAGTTTACATCCCCACTAACAGTGTACATCCATATCGTCATCAACATTTGTTATTTGTAGACTTTTTGATAATAGCTGTTCTGATAGGTGTGAGTGATATCTTATTTTTGTTTTTATTTGCATTTCTCTAATAGTTAGTGATGTTGAGTATCTTTTCATGTGCCTGTTAACTATCTGCATGTCTTCTTTGGAAAAATGTCTACTCAGATCTTCTGTCTGTTTTTTTTTTTTTTTAAGTCACATTGTTTGTTTTCCTGATATTTGAGTTGTATAAACTGTTTACATAATTTGGATATTAACTCCTTGTCAATAGTATCATTTGCAAATATTTTCTCTCATTCAGTAGGTTGTCTTTTCATTTTGTTGATGATTTTCTTTGCTGGGAAAAAGTTTTTAAGTTTAATTAGGTCTCATTTGTTTATTTTTGCTTTTATTTCTTTTGCCTTAGGAGATAGAAACAAACAATCTTGCTACCATTTATGTCAAAGAGTGTTCTGTCCATGCTCCCTTCTAGGAGCTTTATGGTTTCAGAGTTTACATTCATGTCTCTAATTCTGAACTCGTTTTTGTATATGGTGTGAGAAAATGTTCTAATCTCTTCCTTTTACATGTGGCTATCTAGTTTTCCCAGCACCACTTATTATTGAAGAGACTCTCTTTTTCCCAGTGTATATTATTGCTGCCTTCACTTGTAGATTAATTGACCATAGGTGCATAGGTTTATTTCTGGGCTCTCTATACTGTCCCATTGATCTATGTGTCTGTTACTGCACTAGTATCATGCTGTTTTGATTATTGTACCTTTGTAATATGAACTCAGTACTTCCCTTATTCTTCACACTGACCTTGGCTATGTAGCTTGCTTTGGCCAATGGGATGCTAGTGGATGTGATGTGAGCAGAGGATATCATGTGTGTGCTCGTCTGATTGGGCTTGCCTTCTTGTACTTCTGCCAAAACCATGGCAAGAGAGTACTCAGGGTAGCCTCTGCTTCTCAAGCCTTGGTCCTAGGATGCGACTCATGGAGCAGACACCCCACTTGTCCCACAGGTATGGTAGCAAGAAACAAATATTTATGTTTGAATGCCACTGTGATAATTGTGGTCTTTTATTACACAGAATTCCTGTGTCAGTTGCTGACTAGGGTTGAGTAGATAAAACTCTGTGGAAATTTTAATTTCAAAAATGTAAGCAGAAGTAGGAAATCACAGTTTTGGGGTCCTTGACTTTTTGGCTAAGAACTGATCTCAGGAAGCTTCATGTTTGTCTGTAGTCCTTTGGCTTTCTCCTCCTGTGACTATCACATCTTAGCTCTGCCATTACTAATGTATGAGTGACTGCTTTAGATTTCCCACACCATTAAAAATCCAACTTGACACTTTTTCCAACACATGGTTTCTAACCAGGAAGCCTTGTAATGCTGAGTGAGCCCTTTAAGATAAAGAATGTACTCGGCCATGTCTAGACCAATTACCTTGACTCTGCAAAGGCTGTGGAGTTGGAATCCTTATCGTAACTGAGCAGTTGAGAACCACAAAGACAAAATATTAGTGTGATGCCTGTAGACTCAAGATATAGAAGCAGAAGGATACTCTGAGAATTCCCCAAGGCCCAGTCTGGGTAGGACCAGCATAGAGGGGCTTGAGCAGTTCACACAATGCAGCTACAGTGGCTGAGTTCCACTGCACAGCTATTGAGCCTCTGCCTCTGCTGAACCACTTTGGGTAACAGACTGACCAGATCACATGCTGGGTATTGGGTTATTTATCTGTGCTTCTCTGCTATGGGGCTGGGGGCTCCTTGCTGGCAGGGCTGTGTCATCACAGTGTCTAGCATAGTGCTTGGTACATGACAGATAAACCATAAATAACACAGTGAATGTTGAGCTAACCGTGGGGTACGGGTAGTGCCATGTCTTTACCTACTGATACCTTATTATTTCTAAGGACATGACAGAATAGGGAGGTGGGAGAGTAACATCCCCTAGTCCTGCCCTGCATATCTGAATTCTCCAACAGTGATGCCTTACCAGTTGGTAAGACAAATAGAGAAGGTGGCGGCTTCCCTCAAAATGATGTTTTCATGTGCTTGTTACCTTGATGGCAGATACTAGCCATACTGAAGATAGTGTGCCCAGAGCTTCACAAATGTAATCCTGTTTAACAATCCTCACCAAACCTTGTGAGCTAGGTACCATTATTCCCATTTTGTAGATTAGGAAACTGAACCTCAGAAGAGTTAAATAGCCTGCCTAGGATAACCCAGTTAGTATGTGGTGGAACCCAGGCTGGTACCAAGATCTAACTTCAATCCCAACTGGAGCCAGATTGACTGGAAATCATATTTCCCTACTGAAATAGCTGTGTGACCTTGGGCCAGTTACTTAACCTCTCTGTGCTACTCTTTCCTCATTTTTGAAATGGGAATGATGATAGTACCCACCTCAGAGGGTATTGTGAGGATTTATTGAAGTAATATGTATAAAGTACATATAATAGTGCTAACATCAGTAGTAGTTATTATTATCTTCATGCAAAATTTGCTTAAGTCCATTTATGTTTTCCCCACCAAATTTTAAGTGTTGAGGACCTGGAGCACAGCTCACTTAGCTAATTTCCAGATATGAGACAATGTGTCTATTGGAGCAAACTGTACAATGAAATGATAGTTTACATATTGTTAGTTATTATTTATTGCACTTGAACTCTGGAAGTGGGCCTTTTTCTGTTCCAAAGACTGCATTTTCAAAGTTAAACCTGGCACAGTTGTAGCCTGATTGCTACCATGTAAGGCTGTTTAGAGAAATTGTTTGTAGAAAGAACTGTGAAAAACTTGATAAGTATAATAAATATGATAAATATGTTTCTAATTCAAAATGACATCTTTTTATAGCTTTGGCCGAGGGACTGACTTCTTCTCACTGAAATGTAATG